TTTTCTCTCTGCTATAGCTCCCGTATAATTCTTAAGAACATTAATGTATAATATCGGAAAGCACCAAATTTTGATCTTTTTTGCTTAATCATAGCAATATTTTTAGGGTATTTAATATATTTTGAAGTATCTAATCAAATGTCTAATCTACTTCATTTTACGCAAACAGAGCCAACCTCATCCCTGTTCCAGAGATATCATAATAATGAAATGGGAAAGCATCGTAGTTTTTATCACAAAATATACCCAGGCACAAACCCAATTACTTAAGCATATAGGCCTACCTGGTGCTGTCTCATCATACGCCGGGCCCGTTGCAAATCTCTCGCCTCTGAAGTAATTGGTTCTCCAGCCTCTTTTCCAGCCTTTCCTTGAAGCGTTGCTAGCCTTTCTTCAGTCCAAATAATATCTTCTTGAAGGCGTTCGCGCCAAGCCAAACTACGTTTCAACCAGTCCAATTCGCTTAAGCGCTGAGCCGATTGCCGAGCAGCAGCATCTGCCGAATGAAGGAGATCAACTTCAAGGCGATCATCTGCCGACTTTAAGTCTGAAAAATTATGTAATTTGGCAAAGTAAACTTCACTATCAGAATACACCTGATTATAATATGAATATAGTGCGAGCATAATAAAGACAGCATCATATTGACATTCGCACCTTTAAGTTATAATACTAGGTTTGATAACATCGTTAGTATTATTTGGTTTCGTAAGGTAGAAAGGAAGCTACTATAAGAATATACTAAGAGCATGAATAGTATAAGTCATATGGGTACCTACATACTTAACTACTTATCTAAATGTAAACATACATCCATACATATATACATACACACATGAATAAATAATAAATAAGTGCATACAATTGTGTAGGGAAAAATGCCTACACTCATACTTATATGACAAGTTATTTATTGAAGTACATAAAACGGAGAGATAAAAAAATCAGTTGGACAGATCATGCTTATAAAGATCAAGGTGGGAAGGCCTACTGCTTGGTCGCAGACAGTCATATAGTTAGCCTCCTTGTACAAGTCTAAAAGTCGAGGAAGCAGTCAAAACTACGGTAACCGTACAAAATATTCAAAAAAAGCTTAAAGTATATTAACTTCAATCATTTATAACTAATGGGAAAACAAAAGTCTTTGAACAAAGAGTAGAAATAATTAGGCTAAAGAAGATATTCGTGAAAAGAGAAAAATCAGATTGACCTTTGAACAAAAATAATGGAATATTTTGAAAAATGGAAGCTCAAGCTATTTCGCGATGTTAAATTTTCTTCGGCAGCAATTTACCCAGATAAAAAAAATGGCGTTAAAAACTACAAGCATTCTGAGCAAATTTCAAAATATATTTTACAGAACATTTGTAATGCAACTAATTAATTGCCGAATCAAATTCCCGCGCATTCAGAGAGAAATGCATAATAATAAACAGGAGATATCGTTTACTAGTTAATGGAGAAAGAAAATAAATGAACTTTTTAGATTAAACTAGTAGAACAGTAGTAGGATAACAGCATACTAAATTGCCTACGGAATTTATGGAAAAGAGTGATTGCTGACACAGAAAAGGCTTCTTGCTTTATCATATCATCAGCTAAAATGGGAATCAGCATAGCTAAAACCATAGTAGACACACCACTAAGGTGGATGAATAGCGGGGAGTCAAATCTATGGGCAGAAGATTAAGAGGGGGCGAGAGGATAGATAAATAGATAGAGTGATTTAGCCAAGAGTTAGAGCTAAAAAAATATCTGCAAGGCATAGTAACTATTTAGATTAATATGAATGCGTTTTCATAAGGTCAAGACTTAAAAAAGTTAGATTATTAATCTTTTACTGATTTAACTTATTGAAAGGTAGTTTGTACTATTAGGATGAGCTGAAAACCAGACAATAAAATTCCGATCGCTATGGCGACAGATCAACCAAATTTTATCGATTTAGCATGTAGAACATGACCTGGAATGACAGGGACAAATAGGCTTGGCTTTAAGACAAGATCAGTTTTCAAATAGTATTGCATATATAATCACTGCATAGAGTAATTTGTATTGACTTTAAACGAAATGAAAAGGAAGAATTATATTTCATTCAGTGCTGAGATTTTGTTAAACTAGACGTTATCAGCTGCCCTTTTCCCTTTGAATACCAAAGCCTGACTTATAGAAAAAATGAAAGCTATAAAAGCCACTAAAAGTTGATTCGATTTGTTCGAGAAGA